TGGAGTATATTATAACCTGCAGAAGAAGCAATGCACAATGGAAACTTTGTCCGATTTAGTCTGTTTTATGTGAATGTCTCTGGAAATTTTGTTTGCAAATGCTGAGAAAGTAGGGCGCTATTGATTTTCAATTATATTATTTTCATTGTCTACACTTTTTAATATAGTTTAGCTTTAGGTATCCCTTTGTTTTGGTTCATGGCGGAACTGTTGACTTAAAACTGATATGAGGAAACTTATTTGTGTTTACTTATCTATCTTTTGTATTAAAGCGTGTTTATAGGTACGTTTGTGTTTTGATATTTTTTAAAGGATTGGTACCTAGGTATTTTCTGAGATTAGATGTTTATCTTAATTTATAAATCTTTAATATTTATTTAGTGATAATGATTGTAACTGTTATGATAATTACAAGTGATACCAGTTATATTGGCATTGGCATTTTGTCAGATTTTGGGTAGTACGTAAAAATGTTCTAGTTTTCAAACTTACGTATGTAGAGCAAATGCTGCCTCTGGTGAAGAATAGCAAAAATAATTTGAGTTCGTGTCTGGCCATTACAAACTTGATGTCTCTTTTCACGTTATAAGTATTTATTGTTTTAATGACTTTTAATTCAAATTACTTTACAGTAGTAGTAAATGAATAAACAAAAGTAGTAAATAGTAGGATTTTTCGCACGTCATCGGTGTATTATGACGTCATTACTAAGTATGTTTACATTGCATCATGCAATCATTGGAAGAGAATACCTATGTAGGCAGCCATACAGTGTTGCATTGTGGGTAGGATACCCATTATACCAACGTCTTTTATTGACCATTTACTAAAAGAAATGTAGTAGTTATTTGTAACAGGTTGTCTATGTCGCAATTCTTTATCACCAAGGTGGACATTATCATTTGGACGTAAACGAGAAATTAAATCATTATAATTATTTTTTCGTAATAACAACGCTCGCACTACGTAGCGGCAGAAGTTGAAAAACGACTACAATCTGGACTTACCCCATACTCACGAGCAGAGCCACTGTTATCTTCATGTCAAAACGACGGACGTTTCGCGGCACAATGACTTTTTAAACTTATTTACATAACATGCATCTAAAAAATGGGCCCTTGATAGTCCAATATTGGGTAACACCAATTTTTTTTTTTAATCATCTTTTTGATAGCAAAATATTCGCAACAACTTTTCTTCTGGAACCCTGGACCCATTAAATACGTTTTTCTCTTTCAGAATTTGCTAAATGGATTGAAGTTTATAATATCTACAGAAATATTAATTTAATATAATATACAGGGTGTAAAAAAAGTATGCTGCCAAACTGAAACCCTGGATAGTAGGCAACCAGCTGAGCAGAAAATACTTAATAACTGGTTGTCTAATCAGTACCGTTGCGGAACTATGAACCCCTAAAGACGACCAATGAGCGCGCCGTATTACGAATACCGCAACACAGGGATGCCGATGCGATATGTAACCGACTCTTGCTGCGTTAGGCGCAGGGTTCGATTCTCGCCTCGGGCATTTTTTTTAAATAATTTTTATTTGTGGCCCTGAAAAGGGCCGTTTTTTTTCTCGCTTTCTTTAAAGCAAGTGCTCAAAGTGACCACCTTGAACGTCAATGCACAGATGGGTGCGTCGGATTAGACTATCACGCGTAAAACAGCATTCGTTGGTATGCATTAGCAAAGATGCAAAGTCGGGCTCGGCCTGGCACTGCTGCAAAAACCATTGACATGCCTCTACTCGAGGTACGTAGTCATTATGAGAGAGGCCTTGAACCTTTTGTAAGTGAAATGGGTGCATTCCTTCGTCGTTCAAAACCTGCCAGACGCTCATGTTTGAACAATCCAATTCGTGGGCTATTGCGCGAGTACTGGTTGACGGGTTCTCTTTAATCCTATTTAAAACAGCTTCTTCAAATTCCACTGTTCGTCGAGTCCGTGGACGGCCAGTTGCATCAGGATTGCGACCCAGCGTGCCATGCTCACCTAAATTTCGATGGATGTTGACAAATTGCGCGCGGTTAGGCTGGACACGGTTAGGATATCGTTCGGCATAAAGACGAACTGCCTCTCGCGCATTACCGTCAGCTAAGCCGTAAATAAAGTGCATATCTCGTCGCTCCACAAAGTCGAATCGATTGGCCATGGTTAGATTAATAATTAAAGGTAAATAAAACTTCACAAAAAATATCCAAGAAGACGATACTCTGAACACAGGCTTCAGATAACTAACCAGCGCGTTGACTGACAGTTCACAATCTGTCACTCCCCACCGTTCACCTAACGCAGCAAGAGTCGGATACATATCGCATCGGCATCCCTGTGTTGCGGTATTCGTAATACGGCGCGCTCATTGGTCGTCTTTAGGGGTTCATAGTTCCGTAACGGTACTGATTAGACAAGTATTTTCTGCTCAGCTGGTTGCCTACTATCCAGGGTTTCAGTTTGGCAGCATACTTTTTTTACACCCTGTATACACGGTGTCCATTTTTAGAGTGCCACTATGGGGATCTCACTTATCTTAAAAGATAGAAAGTTGGTGAAATGGGGGCAAAGTTGCTAATTTCCGTGCTGAATAAGAATCTGAAAAAAAATTTCAAATATCTTCAATAGTTTTGAAGATATCGCAAAAAAACGAAAATTTCTTATTTTCGTTTTTATTTTTTTATGATAAACTAATCGTAGTAGACATTTCTAATTAATACATTATTCGAACACTTTTTAATGGAGATTTCAAATATGGCATTCTGTTTTTAATAACTTTCAAGATGACGGAGAAACACGTGGCAACTTTAGTTTTTCTTATGGGCGCCATATTGAATTTTGACATTTTGGGATAACGTCTTTTTTTCTCTTTACAACGATATATCACACACAGTGGTTCAGTATCACATTTTTCCTAAAAATACAATTTTTAATTTTTTGAGAAGAGTGCTTTGGAAAAACAAAATGTTCTTTTGTTGTAAACAAAAGTTTGACAGTTTAATGCATCTGTCTGGTTGCAGCGTTGTCAGAGAAGTAGAAATTCGATTTTCATCTGAACAGAATTGAACCTTCGTTTTGCAAGAAAATTATAATTAAAATTAGAACAAAATACATCACAACATGTGTTCAAATTGCCCACCTCCTAATTCTGAGCACAGTGCCACTCTCTTCCTAAGATTTGCTATGGCTCTTGACACATCCCTTCTTCTAATCTTGTTCCTGAGAGTGCTCACAATTCTATAACGAAGTTCATCAAGGTCGGCTGGCAATGTTTTGTATATTCAGCTGGACTTCTTTTGAGGAGACAGATGGATTGTTTTATTGCACCTAATTAACAATTATTAAATGATCAGTAGTTGTAATCATGTAAAATTTTTACCGCTTGCAAAATTGCCTACTCATATTCATTGGGTCTATCACCATATTGCTGTCTACATCGTTTAAAAGAAATATTCGCCCAAGTTTTTATGCAGCAAAGAAAAATACCTCAAACTATGTTGTTCCCGCTCCGGATAACGCTGCAAGTATGTTGCAGCAGCCATATGTGAGCATTTCGATGAGAAGTGTAGTAAATTTGCATCATATCTCTTTCATCTGCACTTGAAAAAGGCATTTTCGCAATACAACTATCATAAACCTAAATTACACTACATGAAAGTCAACCTTTTGTTCACAACAGAAGAACGTTTTGTTTTTCCAAAGCACTCTTCTCAAAAAATTAAAAATTGTATTTTTAGGAAAAATGTGATACGGAACCACCATGTGTGGATATATCGTTGTAAAGAGAAAAAAAGACGTAATCTCAAAATGTGAAAATTCAAAAGGGCGCCCATAAGAAAAACTAAAGTTGCCACGTGTTTCTCCGTTATCTTGAAAGTTATTAAAAACAGGATGCCATATTTGAAATCTCCATTAAAAAGTGTCTGAATAATGTGCTAATTAGAAATGGGTACCTACTACGATTAGTTTATCATAAAAAAATTAAAAACAAAAATCAGACATTTTCGTTTTTTTGCGATATCTTCAAAACTATTAAAGATATTTAAAATTTCTCTTCAGATTCTTATTCAGCACGAACATTGGCAACTTTGCCCCCATTTAACCAACGTTCTATCTCTTAAGATAAGTGAGATCCCCATAGTGGCACTCGAAAAATGGACACCGTGTATAATCTTTGCACAGTTGGCATAAACGCGTATCTACATTCAATCATTCAACGTGTGTTTTAACTTACTGTGATAGATCATATCGTAAATGGAGTTCTGAAGGGCTGCGTGTGTGAAACCATCAACATCGCTCACGGGTTCTTACATTGCCATGTTTTTAAGGACTTTCTAGAGGTTTGCCCGATTTAGAAATCTGTGAAATAGAAATCATTGTTTGCAAATGCATCCGCAACTCTCTATGAAATGAAACTTGTTACATGTGTGGATTCTTATATTACTAAAGTAACCTCTCACCTCTCTTACTACTGCGACTAGTAAAAGTGGACCACCATTATCTCTTTCTCGTTCAAAATAAGGAAAAAGATTAGAAATAAATTGCGTACTTTTTCTTGGTAAACCCGATGGTATTTTTGGGTTACACAAGCTTTGGCGCAGAATATCGTAGTGTGACTTACGGAAGTTATGCTTCTAGTTCCTAATGCTAATGTAGCAATAAAATCTATAAAATAATGAAAACGGTAGCAAACAGTTGCCAAATTGCATGTATCGCAATGTCAATGTAAATTTTATTTGCGCATGCTCACACGCTATTTTTAAACATGATCATATTGCCTTTTTTGAAATGATAGTATTTGCTGTATTTTTTAGAAATATATTTACAAATAAGAAAGTTGAAATCCACTTGCACAGGCACAGAGCATTTTTCAACAAAATTTATTTCATTATCTCAACTTTGGGAATACCTTCACATGGGTCAAATTGTTGGTTGTAATCATTATGAATATATCTTAAGGGTTCTATGTTTCACATTATTGACTATTTTATTTCTCTTTTACAGAAGCTTAGAGTCCGGCAGCGCCACATCTAGCCCATTTGAGCCTTACACCAATAAAACCGCCATACCTGCATTTTCCCCCACGAGTCAAACGAGTTCCACGTCTTCCTTATTACAATCTGCATCGTCCCCTTCATTGCCCCCTAGCGGCGTCTCTTCACATAAACACAGCGCACTCCATGAGTTACTACTGAAACGCGAAAATTATAGTGGCTCTCCAGACAGGTCGCCGGCAGGGCAAACAAGTGTCGGCCAATCAACCAGTCCCACAGCGACTGTTAAATTGCTCCGAACACAGAGCTCACGATTGTCTTCATCTGCACCTACTCATCTTGGTCTTGAGCAAATATGGCAAAGAAGAGAGCCCCGCAAACACTTATTGTCGACAAGTTCATTGGTAGAAGCCGGGTCAGCTTCATCTTTGTCAACTGGTGTATTAAGTCCCGAAGCCCCAGATTTATCAAACGACGAAGCGGATACAGAAGAAGACAGCGAGCATTATGAGGATTATTCTTCCGATGGTATATTTATTGATTACTAACCCTTACTTTGTTACCCTCATTTTACTGTCTTAGGTGATTCGGACAATGAAAACGATAAATCGTTTAGGATCATGAGTAAACGTGAAAAATATTTCTGGCAGTACAACGTTCAAGCGAAGGGACCTAAAGGGCAACGTCTAATAATGAAAACAAAAATGGAAGATCCGCACATACTTAACGAAATTACAGATCCCGTCTTCAGTCCCACATGTTCTATGAGAGGAATAAAACATAGCGGTAAAGCGCGCAAAGGTGATGGCAACGATTTGACACCGAATCCAAGAAAACTATTCAATATAGGGAAAGAATTGGATAAGTTGGGACGTGTTATCAATAATATGACTCCGGTCAGTGAATTACCGTTTAATGTACGGCCGAAGAGTAGAAAAGAGAAAAATAAGTTGGCTTCGAGAGCTTGCCGTCTGAAGAAAAAAGCTCAGCACGAAGCGAACAAAATTAAATTACACGGTCTGGAACACGAACATCGTAAGTAGTAATAATCATATGTTCCACTATTTCTTTATCTGAGTAATGCATAATAAAATGTAAATGTGTAATGAGAGTATTTCGAAAAAGCAATATTCTGTTTGGTCCCCTCAAAGAAATATTGGTTTGAGTAATGAAGTTTAATTTTCAATATATTTGGGGGACTTTGTGTTTCATCACAGTTAAATCTAGTAGAACTAGAAATGATACAGGGTCCCACACCAGTGTCAATAATACATGGTAAAACATAATAAAAAATCCTTTTTCGTACTTCCGAGACTAAAATGACAACTTCACTCCATTATAACAAGTACTGAAGTGTCACTTTTTGTCCCGCCGGGATTAAATTTGTGCGAAAATCCCGGAAGGATGAAATTACTAACAAGGCAATTACAGTAGGTTGTTCCACATTTTGTATGCGGCTACTACTTCTTATACGCATCGTACTGCTGCTCATATAGTTTTTTGGATTTCGGTGGTATCAATTCTTTACGTACTTTGGCTGCTCTTTTATCAATATCAAATACACCTTTGTCACCCACCACCAAAATTATGACACTAGCAATGACAGTTTCCAAATTATTTTTGTTACCATAGCATAGGGATTGTCATACCAACGCAACGTTCCTATGGTAACTTGTTCAGCAGCGATTTTTTGAAAGAACGCGTTCTCTAACTCCATACATATTAAGTGTTTCAGTTTCGGAAGTACGAAAAATATCGTATATACTTTGCGACTGAAGTAGTGGTCTTAATCCCTCAGGTAAATTATGGCCCTCCCTTCGGTCGGGCCATAAACTTTACCTTCGGGATTAAAAGTACTACTTCAGTCCCTCGGTATATAATATACTATTGTGCAAAAATGTCATCTATAGATTGTTGCGCATCTACAGACATTATTTTTGAATATACAGGGTGTCCCATTTTTACGGTGTAATAATAAACTGTGATTTTTAAAAATAGTACACTCCGTATATTTTTAGTTGTTTCAATGTCATTTGTTAACATTAACATTAGTTAATCTTGCAATATTATTTTCTTCCTGAATAATTCTCCATAAGCAAACCTCACCTTTATATCTTAGCGAACTTGTTTGTGGAAGTTAAGAAATAAATTGCAACATTTTGATAATGAGAAAGTTGGATCTAGCGGTACAGCAATGAAATGGTAAATTTTCTGAATTTCAAAGTGCCATAACTATTTTTTTTTTCAAATAGAACTACCACTATTTTAGTTTTTTGTGTTTTCTTCAATTTTTAAAAGTGTCACTAATTAATTATTTGCTGCAAGTGTACTCTCTATTTCGTAGTAAAATAAGATTACCAAATTAAAAAGACCAGTCCATCTTTTTTGAAATTCCACTGCAGTAACACAATTCCTTTACTGAGCATAATCTGACAATGGATTCTTTAAAGTTCCTAGCATTGAAAAGGCAAATCGCAGAAGGATTCATACGTGCAATGGCAGCAGTGATTTTTTTAAACATTGTAAAAGCTACAGTAAACGCATAACACAAGACCGTGAACTTATAAATTAAGATGGACTGCTAATGCTGAATTGACAAATGACACCTACATGGGGGCAGCATGTGCATTCACTTGGCGCGAAATTCAAATCAACTAATAAACAAGCAGTAACCTCACGTTTTCTAAATAAATTACTGTGACACGTCATTTTCCAAGGCTGCAATAGGGGGGGGGGGGTCGATAGCACATAGAGGCCCTCAAATACCATAGCACTCAGACATTTGACAAACCTCTGTTTCTCTTACTAGGTTAGGACCATACTATCGACGGCATTACACATTGTATTTAAGTTTAGAGCACCAGAAAGATTTATCTCCCAGTTTAAAAATTGGCCTGCAGGTATCACAATTGGACTTGGTGGACTTAGTACGCGCTTGGCACCTCCTTTTCTCTTTACAGTTGACTCTAGGTAGCCCACTAGTTGTAGGAGTTACTACTTTTTTTGCATCTTTTAACACAAAGATTTTAAATTGTCCAGATTGTGATTTTGGAAGTTCTTACAACTCCTGGGTCTGAATATGGAGTAGAACCCTGACTACCTGTGCTCTATGGGCCAAACGAAACATGGATAAGTGAAAAGCATGGATAATCCAAATTAATATTTATTTCTTACATATGAACATATTGGGCTGTATGAATAAAAGTAAGCAAATGCTTATACTTGCAAAATTCAAAGTAAATACTTGTAACTGCCCCTTCATACTGGTCTGTTTAGCATGGTTTAGCAGCGCTGCACTGCGTCCTGTCCTTCTGCTTAGAAGCGCTGCTAAGTTGCCCAGTGCGAAGGAGCACTTACAAGTATTTACTTTGAATTTTTCAAGTATAAGCATTTGCTTACTTTTATTCATACGGCCCATTGTATACATGTAAAAATTAGAAGGATAAAAAAGATGAGGCGTAGTGTCCATTAATTAAACACTACAATTTAAATGTGGGTTTATAAAACAGTAACGATACCTTGATAAGCTGTTCTAATTCTCGACCGTCTTTCTTGGAAGTTGCGTACGAAGTCCCCTATGTGTGGATTTGCTGGCCCTTGCGCTCCCCGCGTGATGTTTTCATGTTTAACGAAATTCCGCTTACACGGTCATCCTGTCAACGGGTCGTCTTTGCACGGATTTTTCAGCTTAAACTGAAAATTAAGACAGCGAAACAGATTTCTGTTGGACAATTTTCATTTTATTTTATTTTTTTTTCGGCTACACGGCCATTCTGTCATCGGTGCGTCCCCGCGCTGATTTCTCAGGTAAATCTGAAATTACAACAAAGCAAAACTGATTTCTTTTTTTTCATTCCGGAATCATGGGAATTTTTTTTATTGCATAAACTTTTTCATCAGAATGATTTTTTTTCATTCCAGAATCATGGGAATTTTTTTTATTGCATAAACTTTTTCATCAGAATGATTTTTTTTCATTCCGGAATCATTGGAATGGTTTTCTTACAAAAGCAAATGCGTCTTTTTACACTAAGATGAACGGGGAATAAATAATCTGACATCATTGCCAATAACTCAGATAAAAAATGTGATTAGTAATTATCTAACAGGAAATACCTTTATTCAGTGAACAAGTTTTGTCTCTTTTTTTTTGATCTATGATATTCGGGCTTATTAAATTTTATAATTTGTGTTGTTTCTGTTTTCTATTTAACATAATTTGTTGTCATACAAATATACATGTACCTATTTGATGATTCTTATATAGTTGCAACTATTATTGATATAATGTGATTGATTGATTTAATTCCAGAATCATCACATCAGAATGTTTTTTTTTCATTGTGGGGAATTGAGTGTGCTGGATTAGCGGTGTTTTGGCAACGAAATAAATAACGATTTTGAGTTTTCATGCAGGTAGTGAAATTTTACAATTTTCTCCTCAATAATTAAGTAATAATCAAATTTTTTACATTCATCTGAATGTTTTTTCCACTCCGGAATCATTGGAATGTTTTTTCATTACCAAAATGATTTTTTAATTGCGGAATCATTGGAATGGTTTTTTCATTCTAGAAATCAGAAAGGTTTTTTTTTTCAGTCTGGAATCATCGGAAAGTATTTTTTTCATCATTCATTTAATCATTTGGGAATACCTTTTTGTGTGCTTTTCTGTTTTTTTATGGGATTGTTTTTTAATTTCGGAATACAATGGAAATCTGCAAATTTCGGAATTCTTTTGGTTTGCTTTAAAGCATGATAATAACTCTTTTCTTTGATTTGACCATCGTCGTATCTTCTATGGTTTTCTGAGGTCCCCATGATAGACATCTATCTCGGACACAGCGTATGTTTTTGAGGTTTTTATATAGGTAAAGTGTGGCAAAACTATTAATTTTATTCGAAAATGTTTGAAATAAAGGTTGTAGGGAATAAAAAAAAATGAACAACTTTTTTCACATTACCTCCAATTTTCCAAAAAAAAATTCAGTACGTTCAACGAACATAGCACAAGTTAGCAGCTGATTTAATTTTGCGGTCAGCAAATGTAGTGTGTTGAATGCTCCCAAATTTGACATTTTTAATTCAAAATTCAACATACTTGTATTGTATGTGTATGTTAATTGGTGATGGATCAAATATTAATATTACTAGCTGCCCGACCCGGCTTCGCACGGGTGTTTATAATTTTCGTATTCGTAGTTACATGTTGGAATAGATGTGTATGATGTTGGTTACAGAAAAAATAATACCTTAAAATTTGGATTGAAACCCCTTTCACGAATTATATTTGCACCAAAAAATGATGTCATTTGGTATACACATCAGTTTAAATAACTGTTGAATATTCTGCAAGAAATGCGTCAATAGAGGGTTTTGCCCTGACAGAAGTAAAGAATTCAGTGGGTTCAGGTGGCGTTGTAAGTTGCTGTAATTTGACCTTTCTACTGGCACAATATAATCCTGCTGGTTCTAGTCGAAACCTCAAAAACGGAAGGAATTCTGTGAAACTTATTTTTAAATTTGCGGGTATACCAAAAGCTTAATAAAACATGTAAAAACAGTTTTGTATGCATCTTTTAAAAACCTTGAAATATGTCCAATCATTACCAAAAGTTTCGTCGCAATCGGATGAATGGTTTAGGCAAGCATAAGGGAGGGACATTTATACGTACCGACAGACGGAAATTTTTGTATTATGTTTATTATATAGAAACCTTCCCGGACATACGTCCAACTATTCCCCAAAGTTTCATCACAATCGGATAAACGGTTTAGGCAGGCATAAGAGACATACAAACATACAAACATTCATTTTTATTTATATAGATAAATTCAATGGTGTTTTTTGGTAGCAATGGTAGCAAGCGAAACTCGACCGAAAGGAACTTTAAATATGCTAAAGATAATAAGGCACGAAGTCGCTTGCGCGCCATGTTAACTGCGACGGTAGCAAGCAAAACTCGACCGTAAGGAACTTTTCAATTTTTTTACCTCTTCCCGTACGATTTTTTTATTTTCTCACCTTTTAAACCTTCCCTGAACTTCCACAAATAATTCATAACCAAAATGAGCCAAATCGGTCCAGCCGTTCTGGAGTTATAGCGTCAGGAAGGAAAACCCGACTTATTTTTATATTTTATATTATAGATTTACTGAATTTCTTGATAGCGCTAATAATGATAACGTTATAAATACATTAATTATGAGAACGCACAATAACATAAATAATTTATCTTCTAGTAAGAACTGAATTTGGTCGCTTTCCATTTTTCTATATTTGTATTTGGATATCAATTTTCAGGTTGATACGGAATTATAGGTTAAATCAAATGTACTGTCAAAACCTTCAAATTGCCCTGGTATCCCGCCTTTTTTATGCTGACAGCAGAAGTTAGAATTAAAAATTGATGCTGAGCATTTGCAGTCAGCTGAAGTAAGCAATTGCTAACCACGGTAGTTAGCAATGCGTTCAATAAAATTTTGCGCTCAGCAGCTAAGCGCGTTGAAGGTACCCATTGTTTTGTTGTTTTCTATTTTTATTTTTACTGACTTATATAATTCATATGAATTGATTCGTGCCAACCCTGATGGCAAGCGATTTTCTATAGGGCATGGAATGAACAATATTTAGTCCTCACTTTCTTTTGAGCTGTTGTATTTCTCACTTATCTATAGGGGCTCAATATTGAATGAATGAAGATGGTATCTGGGTGTCGATTCATAATTTACTTGTGATGATAGTATACAATTTTCACAAGTCAATATTCTGACGGCCCTCTTTATCCTCCTCATTATGAAAAACATAGGTTTCTGTTGAAATAAATATAGTTACCTATTCAATTTATTGTAACTATGATACGATAAAAATAGTTAGTTCATCTGTCATAATTATACAATATACATGTTTTCAGTTTATTGCTCTAATAGTTTCAACATGGTAGCAGAGCGTGGTTCGCTTTAAAGGTTAACACGGTTGAAGTACTATGGAGCATCAAGGAGGAAGTATAGAAAAATTGAGAGGAACTGATAACTGGACTGTATGGAAATTCGCCATTCGGAATGTTTTGCGAGCGTATACAAATGCTTACGAGATATGTAATGGAGATCTCAGAATGCCAGAGGCTCTGAATGAGGAAGCTACTGCCGAGCAGAAAGCAGAATATATTAGAGACCTGAAGATTTGGGATAAAGCGGACAGAGTTGCTAGTCAAGCATTGGTCAAAGCAATAGAACCCAAAATAATGGCATTACTGGTGACATGCAATACAGCAAGACAGATGTGGATAAAACTTCATAGTATATTTGAGCAACAGACCAAACAAGCTGCTCATGTAGTACAGGCGGAGTTCTTTAGTTTTACAATGAATGAGAAAGATGATATGGTAACTCATATTTCAAAGTTCGAAACTCTTATCTTGAAACTGAATGCACTGAATGTGAAACAAGATGACATGTCTTTAGTAGTAAAACTTCTGGATACGCTACCAGATAATTATGATAACTTACAGCAGGCATGGTGGGCCAGACCAGACGAACAACAAACGTTTAATAACCTGGTGAATGTACTAACATCCGAAGAATCGCGAAGAAAACAAAGACATCTACAAAGCGAGGCATCAGAAGAAAGTACAGGAGCACTACTAGCTGGTCGATATAGGAGCAAATCACAGATTTCACATAAAAAGAATACTACAAAAGGTGTAACTACAAAGAAAACGTTTACTTGTTATGGTTGCGGAGGCAAGAATCACATAAAACGAAATTGTCCCAATCGTAAACAGAAGTTTTACAACGAGGAATCTGGAGAAAACGCTTTCATTACGGAAGTCTTGAATGCGGAAAATGACGAAGATTTTTGGATTGTTGATTCGGGGGCCACTGATCATCTAACATATCATGGCGAGTGGTTCTCATCTTTTGAACAATTTAAGACACCAGTCAAGGTCCACATTGGAAACAAGACATCGATGGATGCGTTGGGAAAAGGCGTCGTAGAAGTTAAAACTTTTGTTGATGGTAAAATTTTTGATTTTCGAATGTTAAATGTTCTCTTTGTTCCAGCTGCTCGTAGAAATCTATTCTCGTGACAGCAGCTTTAGACAAAGGATACGAGTTCAAATCAAATCAAAAGGAGTGCTTTTTCGTCAGTGATGAAAAAACAAAAGCTAAGGGTAGACGAGTTGGTCAGTTATTCACAATGATAATGAAGGTGAAAGTACCAGCGAATAGTTTATTACAATTAAGTAATACTAAAGAAACAAACGTGACTTCGAAATTGAAATCAATTCAAGAGTGGCATGAAATGCTCGGACATCAAAACAGAGTACAAGTTGAAAAAGTGTTAAACCGTAACGGAATCGAGTACACCAAACAAGATTTTTTTTGTGAAGCATGTGTAAAAGGTAAGCAGCATCGTAAGGTTTTTCAACTACGGCAACAACGTGCTCAACGAGAAGGTGAAGTCATGAATGTTGATTTATGTGGTCCTATGGAAATCACTTCGTATGGAGGATCGAGATATTTTATCTGCTTTACATGCGATTACTCAAAATTCCGATTGATCAAATTTCTTAAGGAAAAATCAGAAACTACAAAAGGAATTGCTGAAGTCTTGAATTTTGTGAAAAATCAGTGCGGAAGACCACTAAAAATGTTGCGTTGCGACGGTGGACGAGAATTTAACAACAAAGATGTGACAACGTTGTTAAAATCTGAAGGAGTAATCCTCAGTGTCTCAAATCCATATACCAGCGAGCAGAATGGATGTGCAGAACGCTCTAATCGCACTGTAGTCGAACTTGCAAGAACAATGTTAGCGGCGAAAGATTTACCTAAAGGATTGTGGGCCGAAGCAGTCAACACTGCTGTTTATCTGCTGAACAGAACGGGGCCTAGTAATGAAAATGGTAAATCACCTCTTGAAATATTCACGGGCAAGTCTACACATTTAAACAAACTGCACGTTTTTGGTACTACATGTTTTGTACATAAGCCAAAACAAGTACGAAAGAAGTGGGACCAGAAATGTCAAAAAGGTATTTTTGTTGGCTATTCTGAAGAGATGGATGGTTTTCGTGTTTGGTTGAGTTCTACCAGGAAAATACTTCGTAGTAGAGATGTTGTATTTGAACCAGTAAATTGTACGGACCATTCTAATGAGCATATCAAAAATGATCACCTTTGACATTAACCTTGACGAGAAGCCAAATTACGTAGCAGAATATCCAGGAGAGAACAGATTTGTTCGAGAAAAAGAAATAGAGCAGGTAGAAAATGAAAATATTGATGCTGAGAATGAATTGCAAGAATCGGAAGAAGATAGACAGAATCATGAAAATATTGATGTTGATGACAATGAATTGCAAGAATCGGAAGAAGATGGACAGGATCAACCAAGATATAACTTTAGAAATCGAAGAAATCTTCATTGCACAAAACGATTAATTGAAACAATGATTGCTGAAGTAGATGAACCAAAGTCCTATCAAGAGGCAGTTGAATCACCAGAAAGTAGACATTGGAAACAAGCAATGGAGGAAGAGATGCAATCATTGATAGAAAATCACACCTGGATTTTGGTAGATTTACCAGAAAATCGAAAAGCCATTACAAATCGGTGGAAATTTAAATTCAAAAAGAAAGTTGAAGAGAAAGTTTTATCAGTGAAACACATTACTAGTGAGGATCAATTAGGTGACATTTTAACGATAAACTAAAGATTTAGGAGGGAATGTTGAAATAAATATAGTTACCTATTCAATTTATTGTAACTATGATACGATAAAAATAGTTAGTTCATCTGTCATAATTATACAATATACATGTTTTCAGTTTATTGCTCTAATAGTTTCAACAGTTTCCAACCACCCTTGTAGACCCACCCCGATCATCATGTATGAACAGCTGTATGAAGTTTTTGAAAATCTGAATATAAACTCAGTAATTCTTGACTCGACAATAAATATCAAATTTTTTAAATAAAGGCGTACACACTTTGCCCAGCATGCGTGTGTTAATTGTATGCCTATGGCAGTACTTGAAACGAATGTGTTTTGAATATGATTTTGAAATATTTGCTAATAAATGTTGCATAAATACTTGAGAATTACTGATTGTTATTTATATTATTGCAGGTCGCATTCTAAACGCCATTGTGCAATGCAAACAAGTTTTACTTTCAAAACTGAAAGATCCTACTGAAAATCAAGACGAGCTTTCAAATCACATGGAGAAAGTTGTAAAAACCATAACAAGTATGCATTTTCTTAAACACATTTATCTGTCATTGTAAACTTGTTTATTTTTCAGAAGGCATGATTGCTGGAAACACAACGGATTATGTAAATAAGATAATCGATAAAGTGAACGGCGGTACACCTATAGTTGGACTTCAAGATTTATAATAGACATGAAAGGTAGGCCTCTAATTTTCGTTTGTAACGGTATGAATCTCACTTTAAGGTATATGCGGGAATTATTCTCTTATAAGTACGGTTAAGACTTTAGACAAATGTTGTATTAACGATCCGAGATTCTTTTACAACATTTGGTGGGGGTGTTATCCAAAACATTTGCTAGTGTTACGATGTATGTTGTACTCTTTCCATTGAAAAATTGCCTCGCTACATTCCAATTGTGTTTCAACTTTAAAATGCCAAAATAATTGGCTGGCAATAAAGGTTACAGTTGTTACCTAAATCGGTTTTTTTTTATTTTCCAGTTACACAGGGTGTCTAAAATTCTTTATTACTGATTTTAGGTAAAATATTTGCTTCATTAAGTCACTTGAAATGGTAGCAAATTCGTTAATATTTTATATTATGGTCACAGGACGTAAAAATCTAATTGAAAGCATCGTGAAATCAAAATAGTGTAAATGCCTACTTTTCGAGAGATGATGCATTTGAAGCTCCCCCGTTGTACTTATATACCATATGGTTTTCGGATGTTTTACAATCTGGTTAATTGCACCCTGTTTCTCTACATGTTTGATGAAATCACCTACACGTCCAATTTTAGTAAAAGAAAGCGTTTTTTCGATTGTGGAAAGAGTTTTTTTAATCTTGTTTCTCTGGGTATTAATAGAAAATAGAGGTGGTTACATTATTTTAATCAAACTGTTGGTTATGAATTTGTTAATAATGGAGTAATACAGACTTTTATTGTGCACATTTAATCATAATCCTTGTTCCTGTATCACTGTTTTACATGGGGTGATAATCAAAAAGAAATGGAATGAGTTTCTAATTGCAACACACAATGATGCAGGGACCTCAAATGATTGGAAGGATATTAGTTACATGACCACTTCTTTTTTCTTTCATTTATATATGTGTGTATCTAAACTAAATGATGAGTCACATCTTTTCATATAGCTGTTGGAATGTTTTATTACTAATTCTATTGTAAATTAATTCAATTTATGTAACATTTTAGCTAAAAACAGGAGAATATCATTTTGTTTAACAGTTAGTGCATTTTTAAATGAGAGTTGGCAGCTAGTGTGGAACACAAATTTAGAAAATCAAAACAATCCTTTAGTGTAATTTGCAAAGTACACAATTTTAAATATTTATAAAACGGTCATTTATTTTGTTTTAATTTTCTTACAGCTATTGGAATTGTTAAACAAATTGATTTTTATATTCCAAGTGTCATCTGGCAAATTGGATAAATATTTAATACGAAATACTCACTATTATATACAACATAACCTCACCCCAGTTTATTAATATAACAACACTATAGGTATATAGTAGAAAATTGTTAACATTAATACAGATGGTACTCGTCATTTATTTAATAATTATCAATCTGTATGTAGTACCAGTTCACTTTAATCAAAGAGAAAAAAACAATTATTTTAAACATTGTATATAGTATGTAAAGAATTGTCATTAACTTGTTCCTATTAGTTGTTTACTGCATACTTATTCGTCAAATGTTAAGTATGGTAGAAAGTTTTATCAGTAACTTGGGTAGACTAGTTTATTAATTTACATTGTAGAGTTTTTTATATGAAAATATCTGCTGGCCAGAGTTTTAATATTAAGTTCATTACTATCGAAGTGCGTTATTGCTTTTTGATATCACCTGGGAATTTCGGGAATCTGATTACAACCGTTATTTTAGTACCTCACAATATCTTCATATATTGTCGGCTGTAATCACAATTTTATGAAAAGATAAATAGTGCCATGTGTTTAACATAGACCACACTCAAAAAGTGCCTACTTTAGATTATAAAAAACAGATCTACACAAATTCTTAGGTGATAGAAGTTATGAATTTAATGAAAAAAGACTCGTACCCAATGTATGTACTTCTATATTAGATAGAGTATTTTACTTGGCATTTAGGTTAAGATGATTTGGCGGTTGAGTTTAAAATAAAATACTATGCAGAACGGATAACTTTCTTGACCTTGCTTGTTTTGCTAAGAGTAAATTTCAAATTACTTGCCGAATTTAATCTGTCTTCTTTTAAATGAAGAACCAATCGCCAAACATTAATAAATTGATTTATTTATTATTAAATATTTAATATTGTTATATTACATAATGTAGTATTATATTTTTAACAATTTTATAGTGGATTAATGTTGTAGAAATAGATTAATTTATTTTCTAGGTCTCCAAGACTTGTTATTTTAAAAGTTTCAAGTAAGGTAATGTAAACAAATGTTGAGTTCGGAATTTGATGTATATAGTTGCATTTTGATTTCTTACGAAATTGTAGGCGTCTGAAATTGGCTTTTTGCATTTACTGATTGATGTATCGGATTTTATTAATTTGATCACGGAAGTACTTGTTTGAGAGGTACTAAAAATGTGACATAGCAAAATGATTAGCTTTGTTCACTTATTAAAGGAAAAGTTGTGTTCAGTTTGTGATAAAGTGTGGTTAATGTGTATTATATAGTTTATTAAACGATGCACAGCTCAAACAAAAATCTATTTTTTCTATGACAGAATTATATACCTACACTTAAGTTTTTACTAATGAAAGTAAGATTAAAATTTGATTTTAGTGATATGTACCCATACGTACATTGGCTGTGTTTTAGAATAGTGGTAAAGCCAAGTAAAATACTTCGCTTGAATCTATCATATGTTATAAAATATTACCGCATAAATACATATTTTTGCATAACAAGAAATCTAAAGTCGTTGATGTTATATGTTAAGTTACCGTGTTTTATAAATATAATTACTAAGTTAGTTTACCATCCAAAGTTTGAATCTAGTTTTGTTAATATTGTATTTCATAGGTATTTCTAAATGGAACTTTATAATTAATTTAACACATAAGTGTTTTTAACCAAAATAATCGGTTTCCAATTTTGTATTTTGTTTGTATATGTAAATCAGAGATTTTGTTGGTTTGTTTATTCGAGTTAAGTTTTTTAAAATAAATAACATTAAATTCCTGTTCTCGATTTTTATTTGTATGTTAATTTTGTGTGAAAAGTGAATTCCTAATATGTTGAATACCAAAAAATCATGATCCTAGATCATGGCTAATTGGTCCCCCAAGAGCTATCCCGTTGCTCCTTTTCACGAAACAGAAGACGTGATAGATCAACATTTAGGAAGGTAACTAAGGCACAAATGGTGCTTATCATTCCTTCCAATAATTATTAGCTTCCAATATAAAAATGGCACAAATCAAATACTTTTTCCATACCTACTCGAGTCCTATACCAAAAAACTGCAAATAGAAAAAAAAATTGTTGTGTTGTTTTTTGTGGAATAAAGTCCTGAGCGATTTCGGTGTCGCCGGGGGAGAGAGTTGAAGATGCGGTTGTTGAGCTATATCTCGAAAATGGATGTAGTAAAAAATTTCCTTATAAAAATCGCATGCCATTTGGCATGGTCGGTTTTTATGTCCAATAGATCGGTTTGACCCCACAGCACTCCCTTCCCCCTCCCTGTGGAATCAATATGGCGGCCATTTAGGAAAAAAACTGTCACTGACTAAAAAATATATATATTTCAAGGATGGCATGCGGGTGATCGTTTAAGGATAATTTGAGGTCTCTGATTTCAAATCTGCGACAAAAAATCAAAATTCAAGCAATTTACACTCTAATTAGTCTTTTAAATATTATAAAAATACTTCCCGTTAATATATTTTTTTTGTTTTAATGTCGATCTAAATCAAAATAATTATTGGATAAATAATTAGAATTTTGATTTAAAAAAAACATTTTACTAATAAAAAGTAAAACCAAAAACACCAATAAACCACATTTTTGTCACAGAGTGACCCATATAATGCTTTTTAGAGGTGCCTCTGCAGAAGGTATCATCTACTAATGAGACGTTACTATTACTGTTTCGCTTTAAAATAGTTTCCTGAACAATTTTGGTATCCGCATCTCCTTTGGTTTGCGTTACTGCTATCTTTTCAATATGAAGTTTTGATATTAATGCCCTAATAAATTTTTTCTTATTGCGGGGATTATTGAATCCTTAACTGTAACATCAGCACAAGAACCTCGTTTCCGTCTTAATTGTTCCTGAGTTTTAGTCGTAATCGTTTTATAGCCATCAAAAATAATAGTGACTGTTTTACCATAATCATACTGAACATGTAACATATTGTAAAAGAATTTCTCCAAAAGTGGATGGAAACTGCCACACAACTTTATAAAGCAGATGCCATTTATCTACCACAAATATCATATCATCTGGAATTGAGTTTGAAGGAGGACACATTTTATCAAAATAGGAAATGTAATTCCGATTTATTTGTCTTTCTTATCGAACCGTTTTCAAAAATGGAAAGTGGATATGGTGACAATTCATATAATTAAAACAATCCCTTAAACTTTCTTCCGACGTGATCGCGCAACGGTTTAGCCATTCGATCTCGTAAATGGACCCATGTACAAAGCACAACAATACATATTTGTTAGTATTATTTTTTCAGTAATCAAAAAACAATGTTTTTTAAAAATAACTGATTTGTGTCATTTTTATATATTATACAAATTTTGTAATAAAAGTATCTATTTTCTTTAGTATATCTTTTTATCTAATTCACTTGAAAAAAATCTAATTACAGTTTATGGTGCAGAATTTAATGTAGAACAAAAAAGTATTCTTCATAGTTTTTTTGAAAGTTATTATTTTCTGAGTTATTCTGAAATAAACCACCACTCACTGAAGGGGTTATAGAGATTTTAGATAAGTACACCGTTCAGTTATCTTATACGGCACTAAAGATGAAGATTGTAAAAGCGTAAACCATGCGAGGAAATATCTGTTTGCTACAGAAAATCGCCCTCTTATGTTAATCACTCACATCTGGATGTCTAAAACAGCATGCCTTAAGAGCGGCATATCAATCAGGACAAATTTGGGGCCGGTCTGATCAATTGGAAGCACCTCCAGAGCCAGAAAACTGGGGTTGAAAGCCACAGAAACTGACTGGAAACCTATTTGGTCATAAAAGACCAGCAGGTTGGATGAAATTCAATGACATTTAACAAAAAAAAGAAAAAAAAACTATTTGGTCATCTTTGCCGAATATCTGGGAAGGCTGCAGAGGGAGCTTGACCGTTGCAGTTGCTCTAAGGAATGTGAAAGTATGCGCTGTATTTGCCGAAGAAACCAGTTACCATGCACCCTAAACTGCAGGAACTGTAAAGGCGCATGCAGTAACCAAAGGTTAATAATTTTTTACTGTTGTAGTGAATTTAAATCTAATTTTTAATTTTGTTTGCAGCAATATAGGTTCGAGTCTAGCCCAGTCTATGAACAAGATTAATACATTCTACCTATCTGAAATATTACAAAAATATATATCCAATGTTTTTTGTTTTTTAGTACTTACTAAAATTACCAATTAAAGGTTCAATTTATTACATTTTGTTTTTTGACCTCAGATATGAAATCAGCGCATTAGTCCAGTCAAATAAGAAAAAATACATACATTAATCGGTAAAGATCTGAATTTTGGTACACATTATTAGTGTTCCCCATTGGACATACTAAAAGTCCCCGTCAAAATCTGTTGCGCTCGAGGCGCCATCTTGGAAAAAAGGAGCACTTTTTCAGTTTCTTGCCTATATATCGGCAACAATTACTGATACGGAAAAATAGTTCAGATAAAAAATATAGTTTATTAAATCGCCCATAAAAAAGCAGAATGATGACAAATCATTATGTTTATTGAAAATTCTGGTAGTACTTCTTATATATGCGAAGTCGTCGTACTCAAGCCACAGATAAACACTCTAAATTTGTGCTCAAGCTTGGTATGAGGCACGTTTAAACTTTTCTCATAAAACTCTCTCAATAGAACTTTCATCTTCAATGTGAGCACTGAGTGTGGACCGGGAGCCTTCAGTGTCCGAACAGGGTCAAGGAAATCGTGGACTCTTCATCAACTCCACTACAGTTCGGGAGATTTTTCATATCCAAGCAATTTCTGAACTTGCTGATTAACACGAAACGTGTGTTGCTGCGCCGCTGCAGCCGTAGGGGGTAACAGTGGTAGATTCAGCTGACCCTTGTACGCGTATTTTCTGAAGGTCTGATAACGATGTCGCTTTAAAGATCTCTCACTAGCAGGCACTTTATATGTAAATAAGGGCGTTCAGAAATCATTTCGTTGCTCCAACAATTTCAAACATTTTCGCTTACCTTTTTGAAAAAACATGATGTCGTATCACACCCCGTGAAGGCATGTGCAAACAAAATGTAATCCTGAATCCCTTCATGTGATTGCAAGATACCTGAGAAATATATTTTTCGCTCAGTTCTCCCCTTTCCTGGTTTTTTGAAAAACATTGTCCTGCGGGGCCAATACAGTTAGTAGAACGAGGGATCAATATCTGCGCCAACAATGACAATACATTTGCAGTCAGAAATAATTCGATTCCGATCTTGACGATATAAGGATATCAGCATTATCTTCAGCTTGTCTGAGCTCAAATCAAATCGTTACCCAAAAGCTTGATTTGAGTTACTGTAGGGGCCATAGTAGCATCGAACATAATATGTCAATGCTAGAATGCTTTATCGCACGACGATGCTACTCATTTTTTGGTGCTGTTGCAGCTATCGGTATAGTAATAAAAAAGACGGCCTCCTTCCTACAACTACACGAAACGGGTCCTAAACGCGTTCTGACGTATTCAACGCTAAAGTAAGATACAAAAAAATGTAAATACTCTTTTTATAGGGAATTTAGTAAACTATATTTTTCATCTAAACTATTTCTTCGTATCAGTAATAGTTGCCGAGATATGGGCAAAATGGAAAATGGAAAATTGTACCGTTTTTCCAAGATGGCGGCTCGAGCGAAGCAGATTTTGACAGGGACTTTTATTAGTATAGTATGTTCAATAGAAAGTCCCAATAAATGTGTATACCAAAATTCAGATGTTTACCGATTAATGTTCCGTTCTTAGAGCTTCCTTGTCTAAGGTTCCCTTTGTTAAACCAGCATGAAATTTGGCACATAGGTACTTTCTATATTAACTAAGAGTAATCGGGAGATGCTCCATTACTTTGTAAGGGACGCAGTGGTAGGGGATGAAGTATTCTCAACTGCCAGTAAAGGTGGATGATATAGTATAAAGTGCTGTCCCTATTTATTAGAAAGCGGGATTGAAAGATCGCCTTTGAAATTCGGTCTTGGTAAACGCATGTTTTGAGGAAAGAAACCATCAAACCCAACCATTGAAACGTCGTGTCTGTCACTCTTAAAAAACCGTTTTTTTTTGTTTTTTTAAGCTATTCAAGGAACAATATGAAGATAGAAAAATGAAAGCATAAATATCTACATTTTCTTATAAAACGTAGGTAGGTATATTTTCTAGCACCAGGCGAAGATATTTTTAAAAAGACTTAATCCATGTGAAATAAATCATGAGTTGCTAAATTTCTTCAAGACTATTTTTTCTTCTTGAAGAATTGTATGATCCAAATGTAATGAATGACAGATTAAGGGGCTTGATATCTAGGTTTTTGTTGTTTATGCTAAGATAACATACAATGATTTCAATGACATTGTCCATCAGCAATGTGTGCAGTACAGCAAATTTTAAATAAGGATTTAGCATCTCTTGACTCTACCGATTCTGAAGGTAGCTCAGTATCAATATTACCATGCGTTTGGGACTTTTTAACAAATATTTTATTTGAA